CCATGGAGCTCGCATGAAGTCCTTCCAGCCGGAAGACCTCGTCTGGGTGAAAGCATTTCAAAGAGGCAGAAAGAAATGGATACCAGGAAAGATCCTCAACTGCCGCGGAAATACAGTATACGACGTCCTCGTGAATGAAGCCGTGGAATGTCGTCATGCCAATCAACTACGTCCACGCATGGCCGCCACACCAGAGCAGACATCACTGGAAAGCTACGACTTATCACCTGAACCAGCACAACGTGCGAAACCGTCGTCGTCCAGAAACCAGTGACTATGGCAACACCCGATGCAACAATCAACTGTTCAGATTCAGAAGCTTCATCACTGGAGAAGACCACACCGCTCAAAGAACGCCCACAACGCAACCGCCGACCGCCGAGCCGACTCCAAGTCAAGCCACATTTGAAGACCTACATGTAGACAAATAACTTACCTTTTGTTAAGATGAATGGTTGTCGTTGTATTTGAAACTCCCACCATTGCATCTTAGGGGGAGGTGTTGTGGTAGACCGCTCAATGTTTATGAGCTCACTGTCCTAAGTGATAATCTGAGCGGTTGTTTACATTCATTGTGTTATGCAGTGATAGGTCATCTTGGGTCTATAAAAGACCCTCTGTGCGGTGTGTTGTCAATTGTCGTCTCGTGCTTAAAGCTGTCGAAGTTGTAACAAGAGGAGATGATGACGGGTGACAGGTAATCTTATCAATCGATAAAAACAGATAAGATACCATCTGCGCTACATTTTTATCACTTCTTACCGCTATAATGCCGAGTATTAGAGGCTCAGTGTGTGAACTCCTTTCCTTTGATGGCAACAGAATCGAGGATATCAAAGTATGTGCTTTTAGATGCATGCAGTGCTGTCGAGCGTGGTGGGGGGAGGGGTGGTATATTGTGCGCCTGAAACGGGAAAATCGAGAAATTTCAGTCAACGTTTTTTCCGAAATTCTGCCCACTGTATGATGCTCAATGGGAGGTAGCACTCGAAGCAAAATAAGGAGGGAAGCCAACAATTTGAAGTGGGGGGGGGTTCTTGGAATCATATTCTTCCGCAGTTACATTCCACGATGATTCTTCTGCATTTGTCGCCGACCAACTTGATTGACCTATCAAAGGCGTACCTACGCTCCTCCACTTGATCATGCGAGGATCGTTGAAAGTCCTGACAAGCGACATGCAAACTTTCCAAGCATGACTTAGGTCGCTACCGTACATAGTAGTTCAAGTCGCAGGGAGCGCATGTCGTAGAGGCGGAGTCTCAGGCAGGCAGTTCTTTTCCTCTTCTGAATCGTTGCTATTCGCGTCTGGTTTACCTATCTCCGCAAAAACCTCACAAACCAGGCGATCAAACAACTAATTTTCCCGCTGTCAATACTTGTTTCCTTAATACACGCAAGTAGTAGTAGTCGGAGTATGCGCTAATTACGTTTCCATTGAATTGTCCGAACTGCCGTTAATTTTCAGATCGAACTCCAACAGCAAAGCAAACGCTCACTTCAGTCTGGACCGTCGGTGATAACGGGAGACTCCAGGCTCTCAGATTCCAATTTCGGTTTATACGAGTTATACTTTCTGGAGAATGACGCTGTTTTGGTCAGAAAATATCCAACCACGGTGTTATCGGATCAAGACAAATCCAAATTCCCACAGGCTAGTAATTTGATGGATCTGTTGTAGTGGAATTTGCAAAAACATAATTCACACCTGAATTTAACCCCATTTAGATGAGGAAATTGGACCATGAGAATATTAATCGATTCATTGGGCTTTCAATTGATGGTGCTCAATATGCAGCTGTTTGGAAGCTGTGTTCTAGGGGCACTCTACAGGCTCGTCGTTCCTAAATTAGTGATCAGTACTTTCTACTAGTTACGTGAATTCAGGATTTAATAGCAAAAGGCTCGTTGTTGTTTGATCCCTTCTTTATGCTGTGCATAATGAGGGATGTTGCTGAGGTATGACTGCGCTTTTTTGCTGTGAGCTTCACAGCTTTGATGAAATTAGAGGGTAAAAATACTTCTCAACTTACAGGGTCTTAAATATCTGCACAATTCATTCATCGGTGTTCATGGTAGTCTCAGTTCGCAGTGTTGTTTGGTAAATGACAGTTGGCAAGTTAAGCTAGCAGACTACGGTACCGGATCCTTGCGAGAGGATGATCGTGTAAAGAAAAAACGTAAACATTTTTTATGTGCTTTGTTGACTTATCAACCGGTTATCAGCGAATACACTTGAGCTATCTTGTCTGACCACCACAATCATTGATAGTCGCTGCAGTCCACAGCGCGTACACTACAGTTTGCTGAGCTGAGGTGGT